TATATATATATTATATATATATATGCATATATATATATATATATAGATATAGATATAGTAATAGATATAGATATACACATATACAAACACACACACACACACACACACATATATATATATATAGGTATATATATATATACATACACATGCACATATACATACATATATATTCACTATATATATTCGCAAGTGTATAATAATTGCAAACGAATGCTGGGTATGTCGAATTAGTCTGAACTCACCTCCAATGGCACCAGATTGATGGCACCCGTTTTCTTATGGGCCTCCCAATTTAAACTGGAGCCAATGAAGTATTGGTTCTCAATGTAAATAAACTTTTTGGCGCGACGGATGTGATGCACCATGGCGGTCTGGATACTCTTGTCCACGTGGTTCTAGCAATAGAACAATCAGTGTTATGTAAATCGGGTGTATTAGAGGCTCCTATTCCATTCACAAAAACTACACTGTAGAGAATATATTTAGAAGTTTTGTACATACCTTGACGTTAACGTGATATATTGAATACCTCTGAGAAGATTACAAACACAGTAACAGGTGGTAACTCAAAACCTAATTACCGAAAGGTTGCTGAAGGCTTCTACGTACCTTTACCAAGGCGGCGGCCTTTTCCCGTTTGGACAGGGCGGGGAAGTCTGAGGAGTGGCCATCGATACTTCGAAACAGCTATTTTTAGAATTACCGGCAATGTGTGAAATAAAAATCAATGATAAATCGTAAATTAGTGAAAGGTAAAACCTAATGGCATACATACTCTTCAGAACAAACAGGCACAACATGCACAATCGCACGCCAACGTATTTATATACACCTGTCAATTGCATACACACAGTTGCACGCACAACACGCATGTGCGAATCTGAGTAGTCCAGCGCTTTTATGTTAGCTATAGAAGTCAGGTTCCTCCGCCGGGTAATAAGATCCATTCGTCTTCCTTCACTCGCGACCGCAACATACACATACATAACATATCGTATTGTACATGTTTACTAATATACCAGCCTATACTCATGTACACACATATACACGCACATACCTGAGTAGACTGGCGCTCAGCAGTTTCTCTGTAAAGTTTTGTGTCTAATCCTACGGATAGTATCATATAGTCGCCCAAGACAAACGACCGCAACATACTCTCCCACAACGCGTGCAGATATATATATATATACCCATACACCAGTATATATATACGCACACACGAATACAGGTATCCACCTGAGTACGCCAGCGCTTTGGATAGTCTTTGTAGAAGTCTGATTCTTCGTCTAGGGCCAATATTGATTCGACGCCTACAACAAACCACCGCCACACACACACACACGCAACACATCGATATACATAAGTACACCCACACATCAGTCTATATGCACGCGCACGCGTACATACCTGAGTAGACCAGCGCTCAGGGTCCTCCTTGTAGAAGTCTGATTCCTCTTCTCGTGTGAGCATGAGATTGTCGCCATCCACAAACGATCGCAACATGTTGAGGTATTTGTGGCCTTGCTTGTTCCATCGATCCAAGAAGTTCTGCAGTAAGTCTAGGGCTCCAGGTCCCTCCACTGTGTGTGTAGGAGGATTGGTACGGTGGGCAGGATTGTACGGTGTGAAAATTGAATAGGTTAGCATGTTAGGTAGATTGGCACGGTGGGCAGGATTGTACGGTAAGTATATTGAATAGGTTAGTATGTTAGGTAGATTGGTAAGGTGGGCAGGATTGTACGGTGTGTATTGAATAGGATAGCATGTTAGGTAGATTGGTACGGTAGGTAGATTTATTTGGTAGGTAGACCTGTATGGCACGTAAATTGGCATGGTAGGTAATTGATATGGTAGATAGATTTGTATGGTAGATAGATTGGTATGGTAGATAGATTGGTATGGCACGTAAATTGGTATGGTAGGTAGATTTATATGGTAGGTAGTTGGTATGGTAGGTAGATTAATCTGATAGGTAATTGGTATGGTAGGGAATTGGTATGGTAGGTAGATTAGTATGGTAGGTAGATTAGTATGGTAGGTAGATTCGTATGGTAGGTCGAAAGGATGTAAATATAAGATAAGAGGGAAAGTAAATAGATTTAGGATGGCTACAAATCGGTGGAATGTATGCCAAAAAGTCTCAACCAGACAAAAGGTAAGTCATGCTGGTAGTTTGAGTGACTTTTGGTTGCCCGGATGGAGAAAGAGAAACACGCCACTGGACACTCACCAACAACTGAGGAATACTCACATCGACAACAATGGGTGGGCAACACAGCCACAACTGAGGAAGAACTCACGTAAAATAATAAATAGTGGACAACACAGCCACACCTGAAAACAATAAAATAAACCACTGGACACACACAGCCGCAGCCACAACTGAGGAAGAACTCACATAAAATAATAAATAGTGGACAT